ATAAAGCTGCTATAAATTTCCATGTAGAGGTTTTTGTGTGGACATAGTTTGCAACTCATTTTGGTAAATGCCAACCAGCATGCCTGTTGGATAGCAGGGTGAGAATGTTCAGTTTTTTAAGAAACTGCCAAACTGTGTTCCAAAGTGATATTCCATTTTACTTTCCCACCAGCCAAGATTGAAAGTTTCTGTAGCACAGTATTCTAGCTAGGACTTAGTGCTAATAGATGTTCAGAGGTATTTCATCATTTCAGTTTGTAATTTCCCAATATTATGTGTGAGGATGGTCTTAGGCCTGAGCCTAAGCAACTCCATTTTAAAAACTCCAGTTTGAAACCTGCAGTGTGCCTGGTGAGAGCCCTCCAGAATGGTCACAAACAAGTTATTTCCCCTCACCCTGATAAACAGAGTGAAGCCCCTGGCAGACTGTCCTTGCCTGATAAGAGGGAAAGGTGAGAAGATCAGGGTGGAGACCACACCAGACCAGTAAAAATGTCATTCTTGTTTTTTTTTTTTTAATCTTACATTGTCTCTGATGAGAAAGTCCCTTTTTTATGTTTCTCAATATATAGTATTTGTTTTCCTCTGGGCTGACTAAAAAAAAATATTTTTAATCACTATTTTCAAATAATTTAATTACAATATACCTTGGTGCAGCTTTAGTTTTGCTTATTCTGATCAAATTTCATTGTATTTCTTGATTTTTAAATTTATTATGTTCAAAAAATTTCATTTTTATGTGTGTCTTTAAATCTTGTGGGCACATTTGCTGCTATCTAAAGTTCTTATCTGCTTATTTTATTTTCTATATAATTTCTGGATGTTTCTCTCAGGTATGGTTGACATTTTTTCTGCTGGGCTTTATATGTGTAACAACTTTTGAGAGGAATGTGACATTGCACGTTTTTGATTTTGGTTGCTGGATTTTGCCATCTTTCTTTAATATTGAACTTCATTCTGGGCTGCATTATTTTCAGTTAAGCTTAATATTTTCAATCTCATTCATAAGTTTATTAAGGAAGTTTAGATGAATCTTCACTTTTAGGGCCAATATAAGCCCTGCATTGTGATTCTTTCAGGATCTCTACTAAATGAGGTATATGTTTACATAGGATCTGTTCTCTGGCTGTTGGAACTAAGCCTCTTTGCAGTCTCACGTGAGCATGTGGAGTTGTTCAGGACTGAGCTCTCCAGCTCTGTGGGATTGTACATAGGCATGCCTGGCTCAGTGTTCAGTAACAGGCTTTAGGGACCCCTCAGTAGGTTCTGGAATTCTTTCTTCACCACTTTGTCCAATCTCTGTTTCCTCAACTCAATAACCCCAACCTCTGCTCTGGTTGGCCTTCCATGCACTCTTGTCTTTAAAGGAAATCTAGGCAGACAGTTGGGGCAATTATAGGGCTCACCATGTTTGTTTTCTTCCCTCAACATGCTGTGTATTGTGCACAGTGTGAAAATAATTGCTTAATACATTTTGTAAATTTTTCCGGTTTATAGAGGAACAGCCTCTCAGCTTCAGTAACTCCTTTGTAATTGAAAAAAGAAGTCCTTTATTTTTTTTGTCCTTCCTTTTTTTTTTCAAATATATTATTGATATTTATTTTTCAACAACATTTAAAAATATACATCTGGTGGTTTATCTATTTCAATTAACATAGTTTTCATCTTTATAGTATTTCATTTTTTAATATCTGCCTAGTTCTATTTTTGATTATAGTTTGCCCTGAGTTCCTGGTCTATGTATCCTTATAAAATTCTTAAAATATATCATGTTCTTTCTCTGATAATTCTGGCCTCAGAGGTCCTTGGTAGGGTTAATTTTGCAATTTGATGATTATGCTGAGTCTTGCTTATGATGCCTTAATTCCATGTGTATTTTGCAGTTTGAAGTTCTTAGCTCATATTTGACAGGGCTTTGGAATCCTTTAAGACTTGGACTTAAATCTCCAGAGAAGTATATTTGCTTTCTGTCAAATTCTTACAAGGATTTTAACCTGAAATTCCTTTAAGGTAATCTAACAGTTTGGGGTTTCCTGGGTCACACAGATAGCCCAAATTAGAACTCCACACATGAATTAGGAAAGCTGTGGTTATAAATTCTTAGGGAGTTTTGTTTCCTTTTACCCTCAAGCCCTAACCCTCAGAAATTTTCTCATTGGCCCCCTTTTCTGGTTGGTCAACTCTTCCCTTAGTTTGTGGATGGTTATACCCTTTTGGATCTGAAGTTGGCTTATGTTGGAAGTCCTTCTATTCTCTGGGTTTACGAGTGAAGAAGATTTGGAACTGAAACCAATGGTCTCATTTTCTGAGACCATTCTCAGAATGGACTTTAGAAGATCAATCCATAGACACTGAGACTGATATATGCCTCAAGAGCTGCCACAGGGTAAGCTATAATTTACCACTCTAATTTCCATATTCTTTAATTTAGTCCAAACCCCAAACAAGATCATTTCTATCATCGAAGGATCATTCAGATATGTTAAAAAATATGCTGACATAAAAGACAACAGGTGTTTGTTTTGGAGAATGCCCTCCAAAGTGAATCTGAAGTTGTTATTCTTTCAGCTAATAAAAAAGTGATTTTTATTTAGTGTGCTGAATCTTAATGAAATTTTTAATAATTATGAAACTGTCCCTCAGAGAGTCACCTAAAGATATCTTCAGGCCATGATACTTCTCTACTTCCAAAGAAAATTGAGAGAGCTTGTGTCACTCTTGTGCATAAGTAAGTATAACTCCTTCACTGGTAATTGAGTTCTTTTTTTTTTTTTAATTGAGTTCTTGATTTAGTTATTTTGACAAATCAAATCCCATAATGAAAACTGAGCTTAGAAAATGTAATATAACGATGACTAAATCCCACCCACTCTGGCAAATCTCTTTGTTTTAATAAAACTCTCTCATTTCCATGACAGTTTTCTTTTGGGGGAAAAGAATTCTCCTGGAATAAAGGCCGCCATACACCTTCACCCTAAAGAACAAATGACAGATGGTAAGGATACCATAAGCATTTCCTGAGTGCTTGCAGCAACCAAGTCACTGTGACGTTTCATGAGGTTATCATTATTATTATTCCCACTTACAGGTTCAGAGATTAGGAACTGGCTCAGGCTGCCCCAGCTCAAGGTCTGTTAGCAGAGTTCCTGGTCTCTAACAGTTTGTTATATTGCTCCACAAAGAAAAATATTTTCAAAACTTTACTGGTGGATCCTGCTTTTGACTTTCTAGGATAGATAATTTCACATTCTTTATGTTTCATTGGTAGAAAACCAAATCAGAAATCCATATCAGTGTTGAGGGCTTGTGTGCTTAGGTCATATATGAAGCACAACCCTGAGTCAGTTGGAGGTCTTAATCATACACATTTCAAAAATTGTTTGAGGAACTCCCCAGGGTTATACCTATTTTAAGCACAGTATCAGTGATATTCAATTCAAAATGATGTAATGTACTTATTTCAACTTCAGTGACAACTGCTATTTGATCTGAGCTCACAACCTTGAATTTTGTTTCATGCCAGTTTGTGAATTCTGCCTACTTAGGTGGCTTCTGATTGAGTCTCAGCTTGGTCATGATCTCTGTGTTGAAGCAGAATTTAAGTCAGACACCTGGAATCTATGATCAGGATTTTCTATTTACTTCTATTTCAAGTGAAGGTAATCCTACAATAGCATATTGGCCAATTTTGTTTCTTTAATTCTTTGATTTCTTTTCCAAAATTATAATTTTCCATACTGCCTGGACCCAAGTCTGTAGTAAATCTTGTGTAGAGATAGAGAATTGCTGGTATATAAAAGCTTGATTTCTTGATCAGCTCAGCCTGTGTCATTTATTAAACTTTGTCTCCCATCCTTATGTTTACATGGTTTCTTCCAGATTTTCATTGAATTACAAAGTAAAGTTCTGAGCACTAAGTGGCTAAGCAGGAAACATTCAAGTCCAACTGGACCATGTACCAACCACATCTTATAATGATGCCCTCCAACAGGGAACTTTAGGACCTGAAGGTGCACCCCTTCTGCTTTCCTGGGGGAGATGGAAATGGATTGGGAACTTTAGAAAGCTGCTGAAATCCCATGATGATGGCTGTGTTCAGTTTGTTAATTGCAGCAAAACACTGAAAAATCGCAGGCTTTTTGCAAAGAATGAACAATAATCATGTCTCTGAAAAGACCACACTGGTTATTTCTCCAACATTATGTATATAAAGCTAGAAGCTTAATGTTTTGTTTTTGTTTTTCTGTTTTGCTTAACTTTATAGATTAAAAATAAAGGAATAATGCAAATGGTACAATACTCTCATATGAATTTTCTATAGAGTTTGGAAGTTGCAAAAGAAATTGACATCTCTTTGTTTGGCTTGAGATAAATAATTACTTTGCCTCAAATTCAAAATGTATTGTCAACTGCATTATGATTTTTTGGAACAAAACCATTCAAATGACAATACAACAGTGTTGCTTTTCACTTATACTACACGATTCATGAAAGAGCCACCCCCTGTGGGACACAGTGTTTTCACAAAGATCTTTAGAAAAAGGTAGAAAAGAAAAACCTTGAAAGGTGGAATTCTAGAGAAATGATGCCAAAATATTTAATCTCAAAATCCAACTCTAAAATTAGTTAATCAGTTTTACATGAATAAATTGGCATTGTGTAATACACACACACACACACATATTTTTGGCTTGAAATCACCATGAATACATTTTAAAAGGTAGCCAACCACGAGATGTTAGTTTTAAAGGGGAGGAAAGCTACCTTATTTCTTCTGTGGTATAAATTAATTTAATTTGTTTTCAAAATTAAAAAAAAATCACTGCCAGCTTATATTATAAATGCATATTAACTCAGGAAGATCAGTTATAGTCTAAGAAATTCATTTCTTGCATCAATACAGTCCCCATATGTCTTAAGATTTAGAACCAATACTAATTAAGGTGCAGACTCCAGTGGCTGGCGTGCTCCCCTTGGAGTCTAAGAGATGATTCACTCACCCAGGGTTTTGGCAGGTGCTCACAGCTGTATCTCCACCTCTGGCCACATCAGGGACTTTGTCTTGACTCAAATGCTCTTCTGCTTCCTGTGGGGCGCCACTTTCGGATAGGAAGCATTCAGGTTCTCCTTCAGGTTCTCTGATAGCCTCTTCTCTCTGCTCTGTTTCAATCTGAATCAAAGGCACGTCCCTTGAGCATAATGACCTCCAGGTGTGATTTAGAGGGCCAGCGTCACAGCATGAGGAAGTTTTCTTTGCACAATCTAAGCCAACCTGGTTCTTAAGAGGAGCGGTTTTGCTTGGAGAAGACACGGAGGGATGTTTACTCTCGGTAACAGAGTCCTTCCTCCGGCAATCAACAGACCCCTGAACAAGCAAAGGCGGCCCGCTGTACACTCTGCCGGCAGCTATTCTGTCTGCACACTTCTCCCCTTGCAAGGGAGAGCCCCGGGGATTAGCACCGGCTTCAGCCGCCTCTGCATCATCTATGAAAATTTTGTTCTTTCTCATGAGAGCCTCAATTGAGTTCGCCCACGTTTCATGAATCAACATGTTTGTGATCTGGTCAGTCCCACCTCTTCGATACAAGCAAGAGTCAGATTTGCAGAGACCCGAGGAGGAAGCTCCGCTGACGGGCTGTACGCTTGTGAAATCCTGTGGGCAGTTTTGGGCAAAGCCATCTAAGGAGTTGGCTTTGACTGGCGCATTCACTGTTAACCTGGCACAGGGGGACCTGGTATCTGGCATGGACGACTGTCTGTAACACAGCGGGGATCGTGCAGGGGGAGACAGTAAACCTGACGTCCAATCCTGGCTGCTTCTTCTGGAGGAGGCGCCGTCTCTGCTTTCTCTTTCAATGTCCCTCAGCATGTACCTGTAGAACTCCTCAGTTATGCTCTCGGTGCTGGACTGCTTAGAGGGGCAGCTCGGCCTCACGCTAAGGTGGTCGTTCTTCCTGCACGCCTGTTGCATCGCCGAGCTCAGAATGCTGCTGGCGTTCTTGCCCGCATAGTAATCCAGCAGCAACTCAAATCCCCGCCCTTCGTTTTCCATCTGGTTGACCATGAACCTGGAAAACTCATCGGTGATGCTCTCGCAGCTCGACTGCTTGGAGACCGAGCTGGCCCTGCTGACCGGCTGGCTTAAGGTGCTCGTTAATCCCAGGCTGTTGGCATAGGCCCTGGCCTCAGAGTCCTCCTCCGGAATGCTTTCACAGCTAGAGGCCTTCAGCCTGTTCCACCTGTCGCCACCCAGTAACCGATTCCGGGAATAGCTCTGGGCTTGCCACACGCCGTCCACCATGGAGAACTCCGTTAGGCTCATGATCTTGGCTGCCACTTCGTTTGCAAAAATATTGACTGAATCGGGGATGTCCTCGAGGTTCATAGACTCGTCCACCACCCTGTTCATCAGCTTCTCTTTAAGCTCGGGGTGCTCATCCGTTTTCCGCTTGATCTCACTGAGCCGAGGAGGCTTGTGCTTCCTCAAGCCGCTACTACCTCCCTGGCTTTCCTTCTTCCTCTTCAAGGGTCGGCAGGATACATTCGGGGTCACCAGAAACTCATTCCCTCTTTTCCATGCGCAAAACCAGGGTTGTTTTCCATAGGAGTTGTCAAGACAGATTGCTGCGATTTCAGTTGCCATGGAGACAACCGTCTCTGCTAATTCTTCCGCAAAGTCTGTAATGCAGTAGTCCTCTGCCTGCTTTGTGGATTGAGCAGGAAGCGCCAACTCGTCCCCTAACAAGGACAGGTGAACTTGAACTTCATTATTTAGGGGCATGACACTACTGTACTTCTCTTGGGTGTTTGGATTGATACTGTCCTCTGCATCCTGGGAGCTGCTTCTACACTTGTCCACTGTGGGTAGCTTTTCTGCTTGGAAAGAGGCTCTGCGTTCCTTCTCTTTGTGCCTGGGTGGCTGATGGAGCTCCTTTGTGTCTTCTCCCACTGTTCCTTCTATACACATTTCCTTGGAGGATGTTTTAGCTGTTGTAGAGTCCAGCACTCTGCGACTACAGGACAGTTCAAATTGCAGTGTGGGGTTCTCCATTAGGCCCGCCCTCACTTGGCTCTTGTCTTGCTTCAGGTCCATAATATCACTGGCGACAAGACTAGTGCTTTGTGCATTGCTAAGTGGATGGTCACTGGCATATTCTGTGTCTTTTGTGCCTGCTTGACCAGCAACCTGATCAAATGGCTGATAGCTTAGGGGTTCCATTTCCCTCCATCTGATGGTCTCCTTAGAAAGGACAGGAGGACACTGACCAAGCTGCACTATCTGGCTCATCTTCTTGAACGTGCAGCATATCACACTGTGGAGCAGTCGATTTGTGCTTTCCATTAAGGCGTCCAGTGTTTCAGATGAAAGCCTGCCATCGTTGGGGTGGGTTATTTTATTTTTCTGGTGAACTTCATCAATGGAATGCTTCAGAATAACATTGGACAGGGTCTGTGTCAGTTCATTCCTCAGGATATTTTCTGAGCACAGCATCTGAGACTTTGAAGCAGATTCCACGATGCTCCTGTTCACAGATTCCATGAGGTCACCAATGCTGCTGTAGGTCTGAGGCCTAGTTAAAACCAGAGCAGCCTCTGTGAGCAAAGCCTCTGCAATGGCTTCCTTCCCCACCTCCACGTTCCTCTCTGTTGATGAACTACAAAGTGGAGGGATTGCTCCTGCATCTTCTGTTGCAGGCAAGAAGCTACTTGGGGATACAGGACAGGTCACTTCTTCCCTTTCACCTAAACCACAGACAGCTACGGCACTTGCCACCTGAGTCATGCCACACAAAGCTGATGGAAAGGAGTATTCACTGATGGAAGACTCTTTGAGTCCTTGAGATGCCTGCTCTTGAAGTGCTCCATTGCCTCCCAGGGCACAGTTTGCTACCAGGGATTCCTGTTCCATTGTGAACCTTTCCGTGGCCTGTGGACTGGAGATGGTTCCAATCACAGTGGCTGCACAGGCGAGTGCTACTTCTACAGCACTCTGAGGGTGTCTGCTGGGGTCCTCTCCAGGTAGGACACCTGCGGCTTCCATAGAGACCTCCATCTCAGGCCAGGAAGAGATGCCTGGTTCAGGGCCAGCATCACTGCCTTCTGGACTCTGCATTATGACGATTTTGGGGAGCTCGTCCCATGACCGAGGGACAACTACATCTTTTGTTGAGCAGCTAGTGGGAAGCAGAGCACTTCCTACAGAAACACTGACTGCAGATTCCTGGGCTGGTGTAGGTTGAGACTGAGATAATCTGATAAATGCATCTTGTAGCACAGATTCTGCTAAATTTGTAGCATACTCGCCAGTTGTGGCTTCTCCATCTTGGATAGGAAGAAGTGAGTTTCTTGGACCTTCATGATCTCCTGGATCTAGGCTGTTGCCATGTTCAGTGACAATACCATATGCAGAAGGTCCATCTTTCTTAACCATCATGGAGAAATAAGCATCACTTTGAATACACAATGCCTGAGGTTTTTCTACTTGACCTTTACAATGTTCTGAATAATAATAATTGGTAGCTTGTTGCTCATTCCCCATAGCTTCACCCTTCCACTGGGATGGCTTGGTGGAAAGATCTAGACTCTGCAAACCTGTGTTCTCTGCTACCTTTTCCAGACATCCTTCTGTTTTAATAAAAGGTGAATATTTGTTAATGCATTTGTCTTCCAGAGCATAAAGCAACTTTTCTTTGTTGTAATCCCGTTCCTCTTGGGTGACTCTCTTTTGCTTTTTACTTTCCAAAGCATTGGCTGACAGATTTATATTTTCATAACCTAATAAAGAGAAAATGAGGGCCACTATTATTTTTTGAATATCAGGTTGCCATGGGTCTAAAATAACAATTACTTTCCAAAATTGCCTTAATGCACTATCTTATTTTTATTTGTTTTTTTCTTCAAATGAAACATTGTGAACTTTTTTTTAGATTTTTACACATTTTTAATTGACATAAAATCAGCATAACAAAATTAACCATTTTAACCATTAAAAGGCAATGCAGTGACTTCTAGCACATTCAAAATGCTGTACAATTATCACCATGACTTAATTCCAGAGCATTTTCATCATCCCAATGAGAAACCCTGTACTGGTTTTCCATTCCCTCCTTCCTCTTGGTAACCACTACTCTTTTTTTTTTATCTCCAAGGATTTGTCTATTATGGATGTTTCATAAGTGGAGTCCTACAATATGAAGTCTTTTACAACTGGCTTCTTCCACTGAGGATACTGCATCTGTGTTGTAGCATGTATCAGCACTTCAGCCCATTCCGTGGCTGGATATTGTTAGGAAAAGTGAATCTTAAAGTTCTTTTGAACTCCATTATGGGATGCTACCCAACAAAGTGGCTTTTGATGCAAGGACTAAAGGCTGATCACCATTTTTCAGGGGAAATAAAAATTCAGGAACACAGATAATTACATCTTAGAGCTTTCTAATGTGTAAAAAGAAAAGAGGAGGAAAGAGGAGGATGTTTAGAGCAAGCTCAATAGTGGGCCTTGTTGCAAAGATTTACTCTGAAGTTTGCATAGGACTTGCCCAGCAATAATGGCAAGCAATCTGGGGTGTTTTTCCTCTATGGCTAAGGGTGAGGAAGATGAACCCATTAATTGAGCTCTAGGGGTCAACAGAACCAGCTGAATAAATAAATGCTAAGTACTTTCCTGGATTCTCTCTTTCTATCCTCACAAAGATCAGTAGATATAGACACTATTGTACTCTCAAATAATAGATAAGGTAAATGGGACTCAAAAAGATTAGATTGATGACTCTAGGTCTCACAGCCTTAAAGTGACAGTTCTGGGATTCAAATTCAGGCCAGTTCAACTTGCCTCCAACTAATATTTGCCTTTTATGGAAGTCTTAGGGAAACTAACTGTCCTCCCAGGAATAGCTTCCATCTCTTCCAGGTAGGAAAATTTCCTCTTAAGCCACACAGAGTTCCTTTAGCATCCCTAGGGCATCTTTTGGAAGTCTGCAACCATCCAACTGCTAAGTCTGCAAAGTACATTAACCAGCATCTTCACCAGTGTTATCTTTCTTCCTTCTCACAACCTAGCAAGTGAAGATTGTGTTGTGTCAACCAAACTGAAACTTTTCTGAAATCTCACGCAGACATTTTTGTATGGTGACTAATTTCGGGATGTGCATTGTTCTTATTGAAAAGTGCTCACCATTCTTATATTCTTCCACCTCGCTTTCTTCCTCCAAGTGCTCAGAGGCAGTGAGAAAGTCTTCCTCGATTGAGGACAAGGAGCAGTTTGTGTCATCCTCCAGTTTCAAGATATTTGTTTCCAGGTGGTGCTGCCGCTCCTGCACCAGTTCCAGACCAATCAAGAATTTGTTGATTTCAAAGATGATGCAGTTGGTACTGTTCGGTCTGTTCCCTCTTGCACATTGGACCAAGCAGATATCTGGCAGCCAAGGGCACTACAAGCAGAGAGAAAAGAAGACACTGTTTGAAAGGGAAAATAGAACACTATTGCTTCTGACCTTCCACTGTGCACCAACCTCTCCTGATAAAAAGAGTGGGAAATCTTAAAAATATTTCAAATATCTTCTGGCTTATGTTGATGAGCTGCTTGGAAAAAAATTCAAGTGGCATTTGGGAACACAAGGCACCCAAGGAGAAAGCTTAACTTAGGGGATATTGGACAAGCTGTTTCACATATTTTGGTTTTCCCTGGGGAAAGCAAAAATTGAATCATGAAAAGTTCAACAGGCAAGAGATATTTTATTCAAGGCTATTAAATAAGGGAGAGAATTCAGAACTCAGATCACAACCGCACTGAAACACAAGGCTACAAACTTGAGATCTGGGGACAAGGGGGAGGCCTAAGGCCTTTGCTAACGAGCTTGACCCAAAGTAAATGTAAAAGTAAGCTTTCTCGAGTATTTGTGACAAGAGTTGGTTTCATGACTGGGTGCAGGTTGCATAGAGAAGTTCTGTTCTAACTGTCCCACAGAGACTGGGAGATGGGGCACTGACATCTGTGATGAGGGCTTTGCAAAGAGATGGCCCCTACTTCCTGCAAAAAGACATTTCTGGGTCTTAAATCTGGAAATGATGTGCATTTCAAAGGGGCAGAGAAAGAATTTACCATGATAATGTTCCCAGATTAAATGCTCTATGGAAAGGAAGCCAAGGTCTGGAGTCAGGAAGAAGCCTGGGAAAAGCTGTGTGCATGCTGGCTGGGTCGCTTCTTTTGATTAAATTGAGTTCTAGCTCTTCAGGCCAATGTCTTTCTCTGCCCTGATGATGTTCAGTGAAGGTTCTGCCAGAATTTTGGATGCATAGTCAATGTTTTATCAACTGGAGTTAGATCTTTTCATTTGTACTGCTCATCTGAAGAAGGAGTCAACATGAAATTTAAAGAAAGCTTCTGGGAACTGGTGTACAGGGAAAACAATGACCAAAAGGCCCAAATTATCCCTCAGTGTCTTGGTTAGACCTGTTTAATTCTGTTCAGTTCTAGGGCTTCAGACCATATGCCTGTTTTCCAGGACACATTTTATCTATACATATTATTTTTGTTAAATAGCAATTAAAAGTTTCAATTGCTCCTGGACAGATTATTAGTAAATCATGAGAATGAATTATGTCTGCATGGGTTTTTATTCTCTTAAGAAAAAATTTTAAGTGAAAATTCTCTGAATGAAAATAAGAATTCATGTTCAGGGGATCACTAAATAGATTTTTTCTGAAGTAGAATTTGAAATGTTTGAGGAAAATATTTTTACGTTTCAATGCTCAATTTAGAAGAAAGAATTATTAAATCATATGTTTATCTGAGGTTGAAGTTTCTTGGTTCTACTACTAATGAGCTTGCCATTCTGGAGTCTCCAAGTCTGAATGTGTGTGTTTATGAGAAGGGAATGTGACAGAGGGCTACGTCCACACAGACATTTGTACTGTATTTCATAAAGTAGCTTACTTTTTTGTTACACTATTTATCAACTTTCAGTTGACCATTATACCTAGAGTTATTCTAGAAAAGATTAATATAAAATGAAAAGTTCAATCATTCTCCAAGGGGTTCTGGAATCTTTATATGGTAGGAAATAGAATTCATCTGTTATGGTTGAGATACGAGGTGTCCCACAAAAGCTTATGTGAGACAATAAAAGAATTTTCAGAGGTGAGATTATCAGGTTATGAGACATATAACCTAATCAGTGAAATAAGCCACTGATATGAAATCACTGGGTGGTAATTGTGGCAGATCACTGTAGAGATGCGCCTCTAGAATTTACGCTTATCCTTGATGAGTGGAGGTCCCTATGATTCCTGGTTTCCATGTCTTGAGCTGTTGTTTTTTTTCACACCTTCCACCATGATATTCTGTCTCACCTTGGGCCCAGAGCTATGGAATCAGCTGACCATGCACAGAACCCCTAAAATTGTAAACCAACTAAACTCTTCCTTCTTTAAGTTGTTCTTGTCAGGTATATTGGTCACAGACATTCAAAGCTGGTTAAAACATCATCACTGTACATATGTGATTGGAGCCATTTTTTCAGTGAAAGTGGTCCACAATCTGGCTTTTAAAAGTGTGGACTATGGACTCATACATAGCCTTGGCTTCTCTTGGAAGCTCCTTAGAAATGTATCATCTTAGAACTCACCCAGGACCCACTATATTATAAGCTGCATTTTCAAGGAATCTGTTGGGGATCTCTACATACATTATTAGCATTTGCAATGCATTGGTTTATAGCTTTATTGAATTTACAAAGTGGCTATGATCCCCTGAATGACAAGGAACTACTCTATAGATTAATGGTAACTCTCTTCATTAATTTTCCTTCCACTGAATTTAGACATAATACACTAAAGTGGAACATACCAGACATTTTCTGAATGCATATTATATGTAAAGTACATCATGAGATGAAAATATGAATCAAACAATTGCCCCAGGAGACAGGGCATAATATCCTACTAGTGTCTCAGCCATGGATAAAAATATGAATAAGAAAAAAACAATGGAGTAGTTTATTGAGGTGAAAAGACAAAGACATAAAGAGAAAACTTCTCCACACAGAAAACAAAACTTCTCAAGAATTTATGACAATTCTCCACATCATCCTTGCAATATTATTCTACCTTTTTGCCCCCAAAGCCTCACCAATTAATGACGGGGTGGTTTCTCTTGGTGTTAGGACTCCATCTTAACACTTAATTTTGATTTTGGTGCTTTTTTTCTACCATGCTCTTCTTTCTTTCTTTTTTTTTTTTTTGAATATGAAAGAAAAATTTTTGAATAGTCCCTTGTATTTTTCAAAGTACATCCATTTTTTTTTGTCAAATCATCATTGTTACAAGCCTTTGAGAATGTTTATTATTATTTTTTAATCTCAACTTTTTGGACTAGAAAATTGAAGTTAAGAGAAATGGAATAAGCCTGGCCTACTGAAAGTTTCAGGCTTGTCACCAAAAAAAAATCTCCTTTGATATTTTAATTTCCTGGGTCAAAGATTCAATGTGACTTGTTTATTACCTTCCTCAGAGGTTAATGGGATTCTTAGCCAAGACCTTAGGTCAACCGATTCAGATGTCCCAGAATAACACACCTTGGGTTGCCTCTGCAGCTGTCTCCATCTTAATAGGTCACAAAGTTCAATGTGCAAAACAACCAAACCCAATCTATCCCTCAACAAGGAAATCCTTGCTAGGGTCGGCTAGAGTGGGGTTCTGCTGCCCCCACACTGCTGATCTATTGGAACATACAGGTTGTGGTACCTAAAAGTGATGTAGTAGCTTTGGAAAAATGCAGAAAGGTGAAGCGATACCTAGGAAGTGACAGGGATCCCTATAATACAGAGATGTGGCATGTTTAAGAGGGAGGTAGCTTACCAGCAATTCTTGATAGCTCTTAGAAAAAGTGTGCCCGATCCCAATCATGTTTGGTCGTCTGTTCTTTGAGATGTAGTCTTTCTTGCCCACGCTGGTCTCTAAAATTCCTGGGCTCAAGCCTCCCGGGTGGTGCAATTATAGGCATGAGCCACATGATTTTATGAGTGATCTTTAATGAGTTCTTGACCACTCAACTCTCTCTGATCTCAGAGAAGGTATTTGATGCTTTTCTAACCCAGCATCATTTGTCCTCTGGTTCTCATACTCTGTGGAGCACCATATTCTGCCCCATTCACTGTCCAAACAATTCACATGGAGTTTATTCATCTTCAACTCCAAGGATGATCATGTGACTCAGGCCTGGCCAATCTGAACCATGCACTGCTCAGGTCACAGCGATTGGCTCAAAAATGAGCAGGTGCACTTAAGAGCTCCTAGGACTCAAAAAGACCTGCTGGGAGCCAGTTGGAAGGGACTTTTTTTTTTAATTCACCTTGAACCTGAAGGGCTATTGTCTCCTTGTGGGAGGAACTTGTGGAATAATCAGACCAATGGAGAGAAAGCAGAAAAGAGACTAAAAGAGAAAATCCATGTCTTGATGGCATTGCTCAATCCCCACATCTAATCTGTCCCCTGAATTTGCTTAGCTATGTGAGACAGTATATTCTCTCTGTGCTTAAGCCAATTTTCTATCATGTTTAATTAAGAATCCTGAGGATAATCAGTCTAGCAAGTTCAACTCAAGGTCATGTCCATTAATGTCAGTATCAATTTTCATAGAGTCTTTGGAAGTCTTTGAAATTGGGGTTTTCAAATAATACCTGCATTTACCAAAATTTAGAAAAAGTGTTCCTTAAAGAAAAGGCACTTTGGTAAAAAAAAAAAAAATAGAAAATAAGAAATGTTGATGTTATAAAGAAGTTAGAAACAAAGTTTTTATTCTGTTATGTTTTAAAGACATAATTTGCAATTTGTTTATAAATTAAAAATGACTTAAGATTCCTGTAAAATCTATACTATACATGCCTGTTAGTAGCTACAAAATCAAAGATATATAAATACCTATCAATAAAGCCTTCTTGCTTATTAATTGACATTTCATATTACTTAGAAAATCATTATTGCAAAGCTTGAAATTTGGAGATAAACCATTTTCTCTGGAATTGGATTTTCTTTTTCTTTGGAAAATAGTTTCATTGTATATTTTTGTAAAATGCCGGGTTTCTTACGATTTAACTCTACCTCCTTTTCTTTGTCACAGAAACTAAAGTTTGTTTTAAACAATGTGCTTTTTACCTATTTTATGTCATCCCTCAAATGAATCCCGCAAAGTTGAAATTGTTACCATTCCAATATTATAGATGGACAGACCAACCTCAGAAAGATCCACATTGTTTGGCTTCAAATTCAAAATGATGTCTATTCAGTTATAACAATATTCTGGTTAGCAAGATTCAGTTATGGATAATGAATCCCTGCTTTATTAAAGAAAACTATTATACCAAGGTGCAGATATATGCATAGGCCAAGGACTTTCTGCTTTTATTTATTATAAAAGAGCAAATGCTTTGGCTTCCAGGAGAGCCAGTCTTCTATATGGGCTCCTTTACCTGGAGTTTCATGTGTTATATTAATGAGCTCCACACCCCGTGAAGTAAAAATCTTTTAAATGGGGTAGGGGATGAAAAGAGAAATGCATTACCAGGGCATAGCAGTAGAGGTGATATAGACTTTCAGCTCTAATACTTGTGAAACACAAGTTTGAACCTTATTTCTGATCACCATAGTTTTTCATAATATAGAGTGATTTTCTATTTTTTTCCTCTCCCATAAACCTAGACTCTCTGCTCAGGGAAAATGCTATTAGAGAGTTTCAATTAGAAAATTGTATTGGGCTGGGGAGAAATCCTCATGAATCATCTGGAGATGAGCTATAATAATGCTGGGCTTCCTATGTTTTGAAGATTTTTAAAGATTGAAGAAAAAAAGGATTTCAAAATTGAGAGCAAAACTAAAATCTAAGGAAGAACAATATGGTAGGAAGCAAATGCTCATTATTTTAATGTGGAGCTATGTTATGTATCACTATAAGAGACCTTGTGTGTATTTTTATTGCAAATTGAACAGCTTTACCCATATTTCCTCAAGTAAGTGTTTTGATGATGATTTATATAATATTAATGGACATGAATGCACTGATTCATATTAATAGTATTTTATTTCCTGTTTTATTTTAATAATATTTCTTTTGTCTGGGGATTTTATTCTTGGGTCCAAGGAAACTTGGGACTGCAGGTCTTTATTTACTAGCTTTGACTAGTTTGGTATTTCCTAAGGAGTAAATAGAACCTAGAAAGATGATGTTATAGGATCTCAAAATCACATGTTATGAGTTGGAAGTTTGGTAATGTTCCTAAAATAAAAGAAAATTCTGTTTTTGGTTATCTACTAGATTTCAGAAACCAAGAAAGTCATTGCCCAATGTGTCTACTCTAGTTCAAGAACAACTGAGAATCATTGATTTTTGAGAAGATATTAGAAATTAAGAATTAATGCAAGATAAGTTTTGTCAATTTTCAAGTGACAATATTTTGAAGAAATACAAATAAAGACTATTATCAAATATAAATACTATGTTGATTTTTATGGTATAGGAGCTTATGTGAGGCATCTGTTTTGGGTTCATATCAATCTGCACTGAGCTGACTTTGGATAACATAGTACAAAGTGAATGTCTTATCAAGAACTTAGCTTTCATACCTGTGAAACTTCAAAATCTGCTTGGAGATTACCAGATGCTAACCCACTCAGGAGGACAATTTCATTTTCTTTTGGTTGTTGGACATTCATGGTGCTGATAAGTTTTGGAAGATCTGGAGAAACATTGACCAGTTTCTGTAGAACAAGAATCTTTATTAGTTTAGATTATTTCTTTTCACTTCCATAATGATAACCCCCAAACTATTTTATGTGCAAAAATGATTTATTTATGTAAGTGCTCATAGTTCAAATTGCTCAATCTATTAAAGCTATTACTGGAAGAAATTATGTAAAATAAAAACATAAGAATTAAGACTGGAATATGGGGCTGGGGATGTGGCTCAAGTGGTAGCGCACTCGCCTGTCATGCACAGGCACTGGGTTCGATCCTCAACACCACATAAAAATAAAATAAAGATATTGTGTCCACCTAAAACTAAAAACCATAAATATTAAGAAAATAATTAAGACTGGAATAGAAAATTTAAGTTTTAGAAACTCTTTAGCTCTAAATTTTCCAAAGTGATCATTTAGTAATTAATACCACACAATAGACATAAATAATAGTGTAGAAAAATTCCCTTCTTAAGCTTTCAAACAAAGAATTGTTCACCAATGATTTTCTGTATAACAATAATAATGGTAAAGATAATGACTAACATTGATTTTCCTTTGTGTACCAAGCACTGTGCTAAAGACTGTCCATATCTTACATCATTTTGTATTTAATTCTCATGACAGTCCTGTGTATACTAGGTACCATTATTGCTTTCATTTTATACAGAAGCAGCCCAGAGTTAGTTGCTGGCACAAATCAGTGCCAATGTGCCTGCTCCACATCATGCCAGGAGATTGTCTCAAATCACTCACAGGGTTCTGGACATGCCTGTTTGCTTTCATCCTCCCTGATCTCTTTTCAATGAACTCGACACCATAATTCCATCAAATAAAATTGTATGTACACTTGCTCTTGAAAATTCTTCCAGAAATACACAGATGATGATAGTTAGAGGGTAGTAAAGATTTGTAAAGGATATCTGTGTGAACAACTGGGTTCATGTTGCTTTGGTGCAACATTACCAGGAGAAAATATGATAAGAGTAACCAGGTGATTGTCAGTATTGAGGATGGAGTACTTAGGTACCTGATACTGAGTAACTAAGTAATCCTTCTACTGTTCTGTGATAATCAAGCTGCAGATGGTATACTCTGAACAGTATTATACCAAATGGCAAGGGCAGACTGTCAGCTTTGGGCATGGAATGACAATCTTATCACACCACTTAATTCTTCCCATTGTCCTGCAGACTGTTTCCAAAGAACAGAGGAGAACTCCAAGTGCTTATGTTCTGTCAGGGATTCACGTCAAGGTTCTCACAACCTTGGACATGTTTGGGAACATAAGCTGCTACAAGGTTCATAAAGTTCAAGCCCAAGATGGGTGTAAAACAAGGAAGTCAAGGTTAGGGTCTGCTGGAAGCAGCAAGAAGGAGCAAACCTAAGAGTCAGAGGAGGGATTGGCTGGTGTCATTCAGGTTTTAGAAAAAATATGAAAAAGTTGCCTCAGACTGGGTGTTGGGAGTGAAGGAAGGAGAGAGCAGATACATTGAGGCACTGGTGGGCCAGAGGAAGAGCATGCTAAAAACAGTTCTGACACAGAAAAGCAAGTTTCACAAATGTTAAGAAGGGCAAAGTCCTGGGACAGAAGCAAGGAGGGTTGGGGATGCAGCTGTGGTGAGACCCTCTCACTTTCATTCTCTTTAAATGAACATCATCACTTAAGCATGGGGTCAGATTGGGCAGCTCTTACAGTGAGCTCCTGGAGAGTTCAGCTTCCCGGTGTTACCTGCTGCAGGTGCTCTGTGCTGCTTGCATCCTTGTTGACATCCAGGTTCACAAAGCAGACCTGGGAAAAAGAGGAAAAAATAGTCAATTACATGAAAAACCTAACAGGCTTTTTGGAAGAAAGCAGGAATCTTGGGAAACTGTTTTGCAAGTCCACACATTTTATATAGGTTGGGATAGAAACAATCATATCACCTTTGGGTTCCTACACAGGTTTGTGGTGCACTGCTGAGAACTGCCCAGTGGTCTCAGCAGATGCCCTCTTCCTTTCATGGCCCAAACACAGTCAAAATGCCTGCTTGCATTAGAGTCATGAAGAGTCCTAACACAATCTTCAGCTCTGTTTTTGAATCTCATGCAATCTCAAAGGTAAAAGTACTTATAATGCTCCAAGCCCTTGTCCACAACTCTGATGAACCCTGCTCTCCATTTCCCTGTGTTCTCTTCTTGTTTCTTTCCTCCACCCATTTTCAATACAGTTGTGATAAGCAGATCTCTTTTTGCTTTAGTATTTTAGTTCATTTTAACTGATTTAATCTGGAATTAGTTGCTTCTTATTTCTGGTCATCTTAGATCAAAGAGTGAATAAATTAGCTTAAAAACAGAAGGTACAATATTAAATAATTTCAACTGATAAAATAATTCCTATGATTTAAATTCCAAAATCATTTCATAGATAGAAAACTACTATGAATATTCAGATGGGGTTGAAGAGAAGAAAACTTGAGCAAGGAAATGAACTATGTTCTTGAAAGATAAAAGGCTTTTGTTGGGCATGGGATGAGGCAGGTGTCCTTAGTAGGTTAGAAAGCAGGAGTAATGCCTGGAGGTGAGAAAGTACAACACACTCTCAGGAAACCAAAGAATCTGACTGAAACAGATTCCTTGAGAAAGGGCAGTGTCAGAAATAAGAACTTGGAAGAATCATGTTAAATAAAATAATGTGAATGAGGTTTTATGCTAAAAATTGCCATATAATATATATAAATATATTTTATTGTTAACCAGTTAATTTGCCCATACACAACTGAGAAAATTAATCATCAAGACATTTAATTCACTATTTGAATTTATTAGATGCCTACTAATATCTGCAATTGGTTGTTTGGTGTCATGGTTTTATTAGAATGCATCTATTTTTGAGATTAACATAAAAACATAATTGAAAGCTTTTGGAAAAGTCACTTAGAACTAAAACATGTTGCTAAAGTATAAAGATCACTGCTGCTGAACTCCCAAACACTGGAGATTTCCTTCAGTGTCATAGGCTCACAAGATCCTGCATCCCTGGGACACAGTGTTCTAGGGATTGAGGTAACTTAATGAGCACTGGGGAGGGAGAGGGGCTTGGAATGCTGCCTATGTGCTTGTTCAGAGGTTCTCCTCTGGGACAATAGGATGGAAAATAGGAAGGAACTGGGCATGAGTCCCTTTGCAGACAGTACAAATGGAAACATAAATAATAGATGGAGCTCAGAAGTAGTTCATGATCTAAGGCAGCTTGAGAAAATTCATACAATAATTGCAACTTTGCCTTTGGAAAGCTGGGTCAATATCCATTAGTGCTCAGGGACTTTTAATAACATGTAGCCAGGGCTGCAGTTTCTGAATTGATAGACAATTTGCCATTCACCTTAAAGAAAGCCCATTACCTTGCTCCTGGGTATCCTACAACCCTTTTTATCCTGGGAGAGGGTGAAGCAGAGACCAGAGATCAATCACAGGCATCTGTAATAGTGCTTCATCTGCCCTCCAATATTGTCTTCCCTCTTCCAAGGATTAATTCTCTTTTGAGTCCTTCTTGGCTAAAAATGAGATTCTGCCTACATCTGAAGGAAATCCTTCACAATTTTAGCTTTGCCAAGATAGAAACATAACCAAATGCACACAAAACCTGGTTTTACCTAGAGTGTGTGTCTTTCTATCTCTTTGTAGTAGAAGAAGATCCAGATTTTTTTTTAAGGTCTGATATATGTACAATTTTGAAAAAAAAACAAAAACCTTCTTTTAGAAAAGGGGTAATAAAATTCTAATTATATCTAAAAAATGAATTCAAATTTGGAAAGGCTAATACTAACAACACTGAAATTTTCAGAAAAAAATGATATTTTAACTAATTAACTGCTCAATGCTTTCCCCTGAGATTTTAGGCTGCATTCTCTTTGTTCATCTCTTCATATGGTGACAGTTTTATAATATAATTTTATCTAGGATGAATAGAAGGATAATTCAGTCTTTCTCTAGTATAGCTGATTGAGCTTTTTTCAGCTACAAAATTTTTTATTGACAATCTTAAACATTTTCAGCTTAATATCAAATTTAGTGTGGAATTATAATTTCTTTCAAGTACAAGTTACTTTTTAAGTACTGGGGATTGAACCCTGGGGTGCTTCATCATTGAGCTACATCCCCAGCCTCCCCCAGCCCCGACCCCCACCCCCTTCCCCCCCACCTTTAATTGTTTGAGGCAGGGTTTCACTAAGTTGGTGAGGCTGGCCTGGAATTTTATATTCCGTCTCAGCCTCCTGAGTCACTGGGATTAGAGGCATGTGCCAATGTGCCTGGCTTATATGAGTTCTTACAGGCACACTTACTATTTGCAATATAGTTATAGTTTTGTGCTCTACAAATGTAAGTATTTAGATTAATTTTCTTTTGTGTTATTTCCATGGAAGAAGAACAAATGCATGGTGCACTTACAAATTTCACTGCTGCAATACCAAATAAATTGTTTTCTAGTAGAGAAATTTGGGTTGAGTAAGTGTCAATGAGAAACCAGTCATGTACTTAAATTTTGCATGTCTAATGGCTGGAAGAATTTTACATAGACTAGCTACTGGTGTAAACATACAAGGTAGAGAGTGTTTTTCTTTCCACTCCTATAGAGTTCTGATGTCGGGAACTATAGGGCATATTCACATGACTTGATCTCTGACCTGACAGCATTTCTGTTGCAATGTCTGGTTCAGTTGCCACTTTCTGTGGTAGGAATATTCCTGAAAACCTTTCACACATGCAGAAGGCTAACAATCACTTAAGTGTATATGGGAGTGACTCTAAGCCACATAAATATACCTCAGGTCAACACAACCCCAATGAATTTCCCTGAAGCCAGATCCCACAAATGCCCAAGGTCAATCCAATGAGGGACAATAAGATATGATAGGAGTCTGGATGAAAAGAGATAATTGTGCCTAAAACATGACTTTTGAAAACATTTGCATAAAGAACCATGTGAATACAGTGTTAGGCCCCATTCCAGGGTCTTGGGAGAGGCCAAAGCATCCTCAAATTTGAGCTATGACAGTTTTACACTAAATCCACTTCTTGGTGAGATGGTCCACATGATTGCATTGCTCTTGACAAGTTTCCACTCTATGACCTTGGGCTATTTCACTGAGGTTTAGGCATCCACTCATGCTGTGCTCCAAGTGGAGAGGGTAAGACAAGCCTCGGTCTAGAAGAGCTGGGAATGGTGGGCCTGGTTTAGGAGGTTTTGATGATCAGACTGTGTTCTGCCTCCTGCGGGTGTATGGTGTTTGTGCAGGGTGCTCAGAAAATAATAAATTCAAGGGATTGTTCTTGCTCTTAGGGTTATGATTTGTCTGGAAGCAGGACATATTCCTAAAATGAAGACCCTTAGGCAGTGTGGCAGGGTGACAGGTCGCATATATTGGAGGAAGACATCCAGAGAGATGGGTTAATCACAAATGCTATCCCAGAGAAGGCAGGTTTTGAGGTGAGATTTGAAGTCAGAGGGGACAATTTGAAAACCATGAGTTGATACTGCATGGACACTGAATGGATGATTTTGCCACCATTAGCACCTGTGAACAGTGACCTGGTAAGAGGATCTATATTAAGCAGGAGGGGAAGAAGAAGGGAAAGAAGCAGGGAAATCCAGAGCAAGACATGCGGCCTAGAACCCCGAAAAGGGAGAACAAAGGTGGTGAGCAGAATGCCTTTCCTCTTCCACAGTGAGGACTAGGCGATAATTCAGCAGACTTTTAAAAGGTGAATGAAAGAAGGATTAATGAAATAACGCAAAGAACAATTTTATGATATGCTTCCTGAGCAACAAGAATTGAGAGAGACCTGTCAGTTACAAACCCTGAGTCTGCTCTCTGCTTGATGGGTTATTGCAGGAGGTTGCAATGGAAATTTTTGGTAACAGGAATCATAAAGGAACCAGGGTGAGTGTCATGTCTTACTCAAGTATTGACACTTGGAAAATTGTGAATTGTGGTCTAGGGGTTGGAGAGAATTCTGTTCTGGAGAGGCTGGGGCTGAGACACCAGGCAGCTGAGAGTCAGGTGTAACTGTTGTGTTGGCTGTTCACCTCCATCTGGACGGGTACTCATAATGTGTTTACAGAATTACCTTTTTTCATCAACATGGTCTGTCTGCCTTCAGCCTTCACTAATGCCACTTTTCTGTTCTTATGGTTTTAAAATGAAACAATGTAGGAATAAATATCACTAAGAAAATGATGCCACTTGTGATTTTGACTTCTACATAATCTAATAAAATGCCCTGCAGTTCTTTATGTAAAACAAAACTTTGAATGTCTACAGGCAATATACAGTTTAATCTCTTTAGTATTGTGGATTATTTACTCAAGCAATCTCAGTGATTTATTTATAACTTCCTTTTTACAAATGGTGTTCTTGTAAGCATTTTTTTTTAAATAGAAATTTGCTGTAAAATTTTATTAGTTCATAAAACATATTTTGGTGAAAGATTCATGTGAGAAAGAAGCTGACATTTAAAATCTAGTAAAAGAGGATGAAGTAAAATCACTGTAAAGTGGATTGTAATTCATAGTGACTTTTGTGTAGTGACTGTATTTACAAATTAAGTCTGCACAAAACAGTACTATTTTATGGGATAAAAAAAAGTCTGACTTTTGAATTGAATTCACTCTCCCCCACCTTTCCCCCAAAGCTGGTGATGATTGTCAGCATGCTGATGAGCAGAATGCCTTTCCTCTTACACAGTGAAGACTCTGGCCACACTTCAGCGGACTTAAAGAAGGTGAATGAAAGAGGGAATAGTGAAATA